TGCAAAAATCAAGATCCCATAGTATAAGTCAAACCAATTAATCTAAGCATATTCACACTAAAAATCATCAGCATCAGGAATGTATTTAACCAGTACCCAACTACCACAAAGACCTAGCTCAGCTTTTCTCTGAGTTATGCTTCTCCTCTTTTCTTTTTTTTTTTTTTATGGGGGAAAAGAAAAAAAGAAAAAAGAGCATTTGTGACTAATATCCTAGATTCCTACATGCATTTTATATATCCTTAGGTAGATTGACAGTATAGTCTTGCATGTAAGCCGTGAAAAGGAGCTACTCAGCTTTGCTTTGATTTACTCTGATTTACAACCAGTTTCATTTTCCAATAGTCATGTGCTGGCACAGCTCTGAAGTATCTGGTATGCAAATGCTAAAGGGTAAAGTTTAAAGCCAAATAATTGCCTTTGAAATATAACATTAACATCGGTTGGTTGGGGTTTTTTTTTTTTTTGGAGGGGGGGGGGGGGGGGGGGCACGGAGAGGAGGTGAGGGTGGGGATGCAGTATGAGTGACAGGGAGTGGTTGCTTGTTTCCTTTTAATTTATGCTTAATTAAGATATTCCACACTTCTTCCTCATAAGCAGTTGCTTGCTGCGGGACTCATTCAAGTCACTTTGTGACTAACTTGCAGGATGGTGGTGAAAGTCAGCTCCCAATCTCCAAATCATGGTGTCACTTCCACACTAGTTAAGCCTGTGTTTTCACTGACTCTGTGGGAGTAAGACACTGAAGCAACAGGGGGTTTTGGAACACATGTGTGAGTGGACGCTTTCCAAAAACATTCAACAACAAACTGAACATTCAGTCAGCAAATGATGCAACACTGCAGACTCCTGCAAACGGCATTAAAGACTCTGTGATTCCAGTACCTACTTCATAAAGTCCAGAGACACACTACTTTGAATCTTCTTACTGCAGTTAAGCTTAGGACTTAAGCTGTTACATTGCCATAACATCTACCATGGCTACCTTTACATGGGAAGGAGCAGCTAATGCATAACTAAAAAGCAAGTTCTGCAGTGGTGCAATGGATCAAACATTATTCCTATTATGGTAACGGGACAAGGGGCGCAGGAGGAAGCAAAGACACCTTCACTTGTAAGTGAAGACAAGTTTCTAAATGCGTATCTATGACACAGAAGCATCTGAATGTTTATACCTTGAAAACAGGTATGCAAATTACCTTTCTTGTTTTAAATGTCCTGTTACCGTAAATAGGTATAGACAAGCATGTCTACTGCATGTATTTTTGCATGTGCAAATACATACCGAAGCTCACCTTTCATATGCATGCTTAGAGCTAAATGTGTGTCAGTCAGTGCTCCGCCAACAGGAAATATCCACAGCAACAGGGAAAACACACAAAAGCACTGAACTCCAATTCTACCTCAATTTCCCATACCCACAAAAAACAAAACCTCAAACCCTAGAAGCAGCACCAGATAGCACAATAAGGTGGAGCTCAGCTTAAACACAAAGACAACGGGTTTGCCTGTATATACCTTTTGACAATCATCCCTATTTATGTAGAGACACACAGAGATTATTCACCTTCCTGCCCAGAAGGAGCCAAGGCAGGAAGTGCGGCTGCTGGGCAAATATCAGTGTACGTTATTGGTGCTTTTGTAACATAAGTGAGCCTGCTTTGGGGGTATTTATGAATTAGGCTAGAAATTAGCATGAAACTGTGTGTGTATAAAACTGCTGCCTGCTGTTCTTAACTTTCTTAACCAAATATTGTCAAATTAGCAACAACCACACTTCCCACTAAGGGCTGTATATTTAAAAGTTTGAAAATCAAAAGCTATTTTTGGATTTATGTGAACCAAAAAAAGGGGCTGGAGTTGCATTACTTCAAGGAGGAAATAAACTCTATGCCCACACATTTGCTGTCTCTGTCAAAAGTGACTGGATTCTCATTTGAATTTATAGACACCGATTTTTAAATGAAGCACCTTCAGAAGTTACACAAACAACTTGAGGACAAAGTTTCCTTCTCCAAAAGATTGAAAGGAACTGAATGCATACATGGGGAGTAGAAATGTCATTTCAGACATGCAAACATTCTCTGAAAACCACCGACCAGATCAGGCACACAAGATTAATGGAGAAAGCAGGCTTCAGTCTGAAGACCCCTGCAGTGGAAAGGGTTTATTTACAAAAATGGAACAAAGTTATTTAGAGGATGGCTAGGAAGAAGAATGGAAGAAAAGATCTGTTCAACAATACATTAAATAAATTATTGCAGCAGTCTTTAAACCACAACATTAATACAGGCCTCTAGTAAGCAAAGGTATTAGCACAATTGTAAGCAGAATAGACTTGATGGTCCATTGGTCTCTTTCAGTACAGTACAGTTCTAGGATATTTGCCATAATACATAAAAGCCAAAAAAGTTGTCACTTGAAGAGTGTGGAATTAAACAAAGGCACAAAGCAGGTAAAATTCAGCCCTCGTTAACCTGTCATTCCACAGGCTAGCCACACAGTTCAGGGCCACCAGCTCAGTCTTTTGGTTGGAACAGTAACAGGTGTCCCTTCTGTACCTACCATGCATGAGAACTCACAGTAACACACGTTATTTATTAGTATTCCTATAACATAACATGCTCTTACCCTTGCCTGATTACATATTTCTACAATTGGTATTAGAACATGGGTGCATACATGCTCTTCTGCATAGATACTGCTTGTACCTCACCAAAAGGCTCCCCAGACATCTTCCACAAATGGGACAAATTAACTTGGGAAAAAAAAGCATATTCACTTCATCAAGATAGTAACTTGTAGCACATGCTCAGCTTCCTTTAGTAACAACATGTATCATTTATTTTTGTTGTTCTGCTAATCATTGGCGCAAGGGAAACAAAGAATTTCAGACACATCCAAAAACCTAACTGAATACCACATAACAACGTCAAGTAAGTCTGCAATTGGCAAATGCAAATTGGCACAGATAATTTTTATGTGGTATTTTTGCTGAGAATGTTTGATAAAAGTGAAGTGTGCTATATATTTAGTTCCACAGTTTCATCCTAAATGAGAAAGGTTTGTTCTCTCTTATTTTGCCTTTTGATCTTAAATGATGTTTCAGAGTCCCAAACGATTCAAGGATTGAAAGTTACTGACTATTTGGTACTGAACACTGATCAAAGTGATGCTGAAACACTGTAAGATTTAATTATTTATTCAGAAAAAGAATTCACAATATGTGGATACAGTCTACTAAGCAAGACTGGCTTAAACTTTCTTAATGGCTAAAACCACTTTAGGTTCTAAAGAAAAAAAGAAAAAAAAATAAGGTAAGTTGTAATCAAGTTTTATCCACCAACAGTAAAGCAGCAATAGTTTAAATTTACTAAATTTACCATTTAATAGGAAAACCTGCATCTAGTAAAAATACAGCAATAATTGCATTTGATTGAACAAACCTTAGAAGAAGTTAATTGCTGACTGCAGAAAAGCTCAAAAAAGCTCCATCAGCTCCAAACATCAACCTGTGTAACACTTGCAAATTTAAGCAGGATGAATTTCAACACATTCGTTACTACCAGACACAAAGTTCTCACTGGGTAAGGTAAGCTTTCATTTCAAGACTGCATAATAGAAACATTACTTGCAAAATACATCATATATTGCACCTCCAACACCAAAACAGAAGTCTAGAAATATGTGAAGATAATCTCCTAAAATAGTAACTGCTTAAAAGTAATCTTCAGGTTCTCACACAACTCCCCTATTAACATCTTAATTGATTTTAAGTTCTACACTCATATCCCAATGAACAATCATATAAGCAGTCTCTATAGACTTAAGTGAGGTTACTCCTGAAAGTAACAGCTCACCACAGTTCAAAATGTATAGTTCTTTTCTTAAAACATTTACAAAGAAATCCAAATGAAGCACTTAGAATTACCAACCTTACTTACAAGTTCATGATTTTTCCAATGTTACCTTTCTCAGTTCTAAAAACAAAGGGGATGTAAAATTTTAGAAAATACTAATTATGAGAAATCTATTTCATCAACAATAAGAAATCCAAGGGAAGAAAAAGAAAAACAAAACAAAAAACTTAACAGGATCTAGGATGACTGCCCAAAATAGCTTCCCCCACCCCTAAAAAACACACATATACACACAGATAATTACTGCTTACTGATTTTGGGGGAGGAGCTTATGCCCAACAGTCACCCTATTAGGGGGAAAATCATATAAATACTGAAGGGTGACACTGGAAATCATCAGCTTCTGCTCACTGACCAGTGGCAGAAGAACTCCTCGGTAGAGGAGGATTCACTGCTCTACCACTCTACATCGGAGCTCCACAACATTGTGGTATGTTATGATTTCATTTCAATTTGGTTTTGAAGGTTTCTATAGGTTCAATTTGGTTTCTATAGGATGCATGTTTTCTGGTTGGGGAGGGAAAGGGGTTGATATTTAAGGGCCACTGGCGCTGTTTGAAAGGGTGCAGATAAAAGCCTGGCTTCAAGCAAGGCAATGTGAGATTTTTGCCACTGATGCTGAAGGAGCCAGGACTTCATGCTTCGCTTTCTATAGCATTAGACAGAGGCAATAAGGTCATGGTAGAGTGTCTATGTAAGTTTCCACGGCAAACTTTTCTTCATTTCAAGAGTTTTGATATATACAAGTCCTGAACTTACTTTTGGAGCTCTAGTGTAATTAGGAAAATAATACCTGTTTCTAAAGACAGGAATTTTAGAAAGGCTGGCATCCATTTAAAATTTTTCTTTTCTTAAGAGTGAGAGTACTGCCTCTAGCTTATCTAAACAAGAGCTCCAGCATTCAAAGTGATAGCAATACTGATTTCCTTTTTCTTAGAGGATTTTTCAGAACTTGTGAAAGCAGGAGGAAGTAAGCACAAAATATTACTTTAAATATTAATACTTTAAGAAAACTCACTTATTCATGCACAAGAAATAGAACTTTTTTTTAATAAACTTTTTCTCCCCTTTTTAACACAGGACGGATTTGGAAACATGCATTTACAAATATCCTTACTGCTGCTGTTTTGTCTGAACATTGTCCATGGTAGCGATGGATATTTTTCTGAGAGATACCAGAAACAATCCAGCATTAAGGGGCCACATTTTCTACCATTCAATGTAAAGAGTCAAGGTAAGCTTACTATTTTTTGATAATAAAAATAGTCAATACATGAACAAAAGCTCTTTTTTTATATATACTACTGGTATTCAACTTTTACTAACAGTATAGGTTTTTTAAAATAAGGTCATGATTGCATAAAGAGCCAGCAGTGGCTCTGGCAATTGCCTTCTATTGACAAATATGTACACTTGTCACAATTTTTTTTTTTTTTTTTTTTTAAACACAGTCACTAAGGCTTATAGAAACAAGATCACAGCCACAGATCTAGTGTTCCCTTTGGGTGGGAAAGAACCTTAAAAGATCATCTAGTTCTAACTCCCCAGGAACCTTCCACTAGACCAGGTTACTCAAAGCTCTATCCAATCTGGCCTTGACCATGCTAATTATCCTCAATTTTCTTGATTCAACACTGGGGTTTCTAGACCTATCATCTTTTACATATTCTGTCATGTTATCTCTACTCAAAGCAGACCTTAGGTGTGAATTTAAATACATATCTGAAACATATGAACAAATGAAGACCTATTTGAAGTCTAGAAAGGCAAAATAAATTGATATATAGTAATAAAAATGTGACGTCTCTACATAATTTTTATGAGTGATTTAAGCTTATACTTTAATTATCAAACTTATCTCATAACAATATAACAATTCTAGCTTTATAATAAATTCTCTTCATTTCATAAATCAGTCTTATGACAGATTGTATAAACCATATATAATTGAAATGCTATACATTGTGACATTTTATTTCTGGGCATTGTCTCTTTCCTTTTAAGTCAAACGGGTGGCTATACTTAGTGTTTGAAATTATTTGAGTTCTTTTATTTTTCCACGCTTAGTCCAAAGCCTTTTTTAAAAAGCTCAAAATCAAAACTCTATGACTTTGTAGTGCTGGTTTTATTTGATCAGTTGTTCCCCAAAGGATGATCTCTAGTCAAAACTGTCATCACTAAAATCAAGAGAACTAAATCTTCTTTGTAAACATCCACTCGTCCCCCCATTGTTTTCTTTTAGATACCAAAAGGCTATTCAGACTAGCTTTCACTTTTGCTGTATCCCATCTACTTTTAATTATAATAATCATACTTGGGCAGACATGAGGAAACTGAATGATGGACTTGGAACACAGGATTTGCAAATATGCTTCTGTTGTGCTGCCCTATTTCCTAATGCAGATATAGCCTAAAATGTCATTTTTCTGGTGAAAAGAAGCTTATCTGGAGAGCAGAATAGCTGCTATCAGAACAAAGCATCCACAAGGCCTTCGTTTAGGAGGTTTTGTTTCAGAATATCTCTAGTCTGATCCTATGGACTGGATGCCCACCAGCAGCATACATCAATTCCAAAGAGGCAGCCCTGGTCTCATTGTAACCTGCTTTAGCCCACATGCTGCAAGAATGCTCTGCTTTAAGAATAAAGTGAAAGCAGCATGGCTGGGAAACTTAACCCCCAAAATGTTCTTCTGGGCTGTACCAAAATACCATCACAGTTTCGTCCCTTGCCTTGAGCACAAGGACTTTCTGGAATCCTACCAGCACACTCAGACTGAATTTAGGTTCATGTACATAAACAGCTACTCTGAGGACTCACTCACTGGTATTCCCACTGGGTTAGAGTTGCATTTCCTTCCTCTCCCCTTGTTAACTTTTCATAGAATTTTTCCATTACTTTATTCAGAATTATTTACATATTTATATTATTTGTAATACAATATTTACTTGGTTATCCTCTACCATACCTTATTTAGCTTCCTCTGGGTTCCCTCCCCCACCAAAATATTTGGAAAGCAGGAAACCAGCAGCAAACTAAGGAAGGTGCAGGGTAGACAGGAAATAGGGTGAAAGGGTGAAATGAATTGTCCTGCACTAAGCTTTCACTTTTTATACTAACACAAAATTTAACACGCTTGAAACTTCATATTCAGAATGTGAGTGATTATATCAACATGTGAGAAGTATAAAATGCTATTAAGGTAATAAAGGCTATATATAGTAGACCTCAAAAGCAGGAACAGCCTACAGTTTTACAGACATGGGAGTTCAGTCATTCAAAATTGCTTGACAAATTTTTATTTGAGGAACAAGTATCAAAATGAAGGACTGGAAAAATCACTGCTACTCTTCAGTCTGGAAAACAAGCATCCTGGTAAAGGGCTCATAGAAGAGTTTAAAGAGGGCCAACTGTTAGCAATAATAATTTCTAGTCTGAGGTGATCATGGAACACTTAACTATTCTTATTTGGTCACCAAGTATTAGCTTCTGAAGATTTAGTCACCAATAAATTATCTTTTTGTCTTGTACAGCTCCGCCAAAAAGCAGCCTGGAACTAAAATTTCAGTCTAGGCCCAAACTGGTGACTCAGGACAACATGTAATAGATCATACAATTTCTGTTAGCAATTAAACCCTAGTAAAGCTTAATTTAATTTGCTGAAATTGTTTTAGCAGTTTTAAAAAGCTTGTTCCTGACAGCTCTCCAGTCAGAATATACTTTCCTTTTCTGTATGTATTTAGTGTTATTTTTTTTTAAATATAGCAGCACATGATTTTTAAACCAGTAGCTCTTTGGCTTGAGATTTTTTGAAACCCCTAGTTGAGAATAAGCGTTGAATTAAGCCTGACTGTTCATCAGTGCTTAAATAAGCCATTATTACAGGTTATGCTAAAGTCTTCATACTTAATCCAATAGGGTCTGACTGCATTCAGAGGACATAAACCAATTTTGCATCAATATATGTGCCAAGATACATAAAAAAAAAAAGTGACCCATCCCTACTCCAGGTTTCCTGGTAAAAATCCTGCTTCATTCATGTGCTCAGCTGTCCTTTCCTCAGAGGATTTAACATTGTCTCTAGATGGTGCAATTATCAGACATTTTAATCTAAAAGTAGCACCACTTTGAAACAGTAGAGCGCCTCACAGTAAAATCCCTATAACACCATGAACACTGACAGAGCCTTCAGCATCTTAGGCAAAAAGGCAGCACCCACCACCTTGTGAATCTAGGAGTGATATGAATGTACATCTAAAACACGGTAAGAAGCAAGAAAGAGAAGCACTCTGAAGCCAAAGTCTGATGTAACTTGCCACCAAAAAAAAAAATTAGATCAAGTGCAATAATTGCATGTTACTTAAATACAGCTGAATAAAATGCATGTTTACGCCCCTGCAGAAGTTAAATTCACTCTGACTGCTAAATAATAAAATACATCTGGTAGGCCTAGACGTAGTTCCTTGAGCTATGGTTAGGAAAGAGCAGACCTGGCTGGGGTCACTGTTGTCTTCTGCCAAAGTACCCACATAAATGCTTGGTTTGGGATTTTATGTGGTTGATGTAAAAAAACCATTTGTACGTTTCCCCTAATGCTTTACAACTGAAACAGCATTAGCTCAGGAACCTGTTTAGGTATTTGTATTGAGGCTTTGATCTGACCTGCCTGTGTTCTCTGGTGTGAAGAGATAGTTTTTGAAGTTTTATCCATACATATGGAATAAATTCACAGTCTTCCAGTTTAGTAAGCTGTTTTAATGGCAGCTTTCTTACCTGTAGCAAAAAGAAAACATGTCAAGAAAATTTACACACCACTTCCACTGCAGGGTATGTGCTAACTCTGACAGGTGTAAGCCTTTTCCAAATTATTTTCTCCATACAATGTAGTTCTTAAAATTTGAATATCTTATGTCACCTACATTTATAAAAAAAAAACACCAAAAAACCAAAACAAACCAACTTGCAATTGCACCCTACTGAGTCTGAGAGTTCAGTAGTAAGAAATCCAACAATATCAGTAAGATACCAAAGACTGCACCATTCTTGTCACTGGTACTCACAGATTCCATAATCTCCTTTGCAGCTGAGAAGGATGCGTGTTTGCATTTTCAGTTTGTCAATAAATGACATTGCTTTCTTCCTATGTGTAGGATTTTTAACAACTATTTTCCTTTTCATTGCCTTAAGGAAGATGAGATAGGAAGGTGTCCAAAATAAGGTGATAGCCATTTGTTCTAGTTATATGCATCAGCAAAAACCAAAACGTTTCTTGGTAGAGAAAAACAATTTCCCTGGCACTACAGGAAGAAGGTAACTTTGCAAATCCAGTATCGAACCAAAATCAAATGCATTTCATATAAATATATATATTTTTTAAATGCAATATGTACAGGAATAGTTTTCTTCCTCCTCCATCTCATTTTTGGTTCATCAAGACTACCCACAGATTGGAAAAAGCAATTTATTATTTAAGAGACAGCAAAATAATCACTCCATATGCTTTCATATATACACACACACACACTTCTCTCATGGCAAGAGACTGAAATGCAAACTTTAACTGAGCCAATTGTTGATCAATTATCAATTTTTTCTACGTAAGAAAAATTTGATCTACATCAAACAGAACATTACCATTATTAAAAAAAAAACTCAAAACAACCCAGAATACATGCTCTTTCAATATCTCTCAGCTTTTATTTTTAATATGACTTCTTAAATTAACATTCACCATAGGTATGGTATTTTGTTCTAAATGATGCCACTTGCTGCAAACTACTGAAGTAGTCTCACAATATCTATGCAAATCTTGTCTGTAATGTCATATAAATCAGCACCCTAATTCCAACAGGAAGCTGCAAACTCCCCCAAAGTGCTCAGAAAACTAAGCAGTGAACTTGTTTATTTCTTCATTTGTGACATTTGGTTAAGTGGCTCCACCTGCTGTTTTGATAGCTAAGAAAATGAAGTATTATTAAAAAAAAATTAACAATGCCCAATTCTGACTGAAAAAGATGAAGTTGTGACCTTGTCATTGTGTGAAATTTTTATGACAAACAAAAATCTTTAAGACAGTATTTGAAAATATAACAGCCATATGTTTATCAAAAAAAACCAGAGCCATTGCTCACTTCTGGAAGACTGTGTGGTGGAGAAGCCAAAAGTCCCACAGATTAAAATGTAGCATCAAGTAGTTTCAGAAAAGCAGCTATACCTGCACAGGAAGCTCTCTCTGGATTCATTCATTATCAAGATGAGTCTGATGGCTTGCTAAATCAGTTTTTAATTCCTTAATAGCTTGCATCTACTTACACAGCATCTTTCAAACTCTCCGATGACCCTAAATGTATTGAAGCCAAAAAAAATTTCTAGAGGTCTCATAGCTCACAACACAACTCTACAACATTTGCACTTGATACTTATTCATGTAAGAGCTCTGAGAGGCTTTTGCTCTGAATGTCAGGTTCTCAGTGACTAAACACAGTATCAGAAACTAGTCTTCTACGAGATTCAAGTTAAATTAACCCTTTGCACAATTCACCACCATGCTACAAGTCTGCAAATCTGTTACAGCTCCCCTGGTTGACCTGGTTTCTTCTCTCTCACAGGTGTGCAGATAAGGGGTGAACAAGGACCCCCTGGTCCCCCAGGCCCTATCGGACCACGAGGACAACCAGGACCTGCAGGAAAGCCAGGCTTTGGAAGTCCTGGTCCCCAAGGCCCCCCTGGTCCCCCAGGACCACCTGGATTCTCTGCAGTTGGAAAGCCAGGCATGCCAGGTCTACCAGGAAAGCCAGGAGAGAGAGGACTAAATGGTGAGAAAGGAGAAGCTGGACCTGTTGGGCTCCCAGGAGCAAGAGGACCACAAGGACCGCCTGGCACTCCTGGCCCTGCAGGACTGTCTGTTCCTGGCAAGCCAGGACCACAAGGCCCTCCAGGAGCTCAAGGGCCAAGGGGCTTCCCCGGTGAGAAAGGAGAACCAGGTATCCCTGGTATTAATGGACAAAAGGGAGAAAATGGATTTGGTGTTCCGGGCCGTCCAGGTAATAGGGGTCTTCCAGGCCCTCAGGGACCCCGGGGTCCCCCCGGCCCTGCTGGGATAGGGAAGCCTGGTGAAAATGGTCTTCCAGGTCAGCCAGGTATGAAAGGTGACAGAGGCTTACCAGGTGCACCCGGAGCAGCTGGTATCCCAGGTCCCCAGGGTCCCCCAGGAGAACCTGGAGAAGCTGGCATTGGCAAGCCTGGGCCAATGGGACCACCAGGGCCAGCAGGCATCCCCGGAGCCAAGGGACACCCTGGACCTGCAGGCTTGCCTGGATCCCCAGGTCTTCCAGGATTTGGAAAGCCAGGATTGCCAGGAATGAAGGGACATAGGGGACCTGAAGGTCCTCCTGGGCTCCCAGGACCTAAAGGAGACCAAGGCCCAGCTGGTGTGTCAGGAGAACCAGGACCTGTCGGGCCACCAGGGAACATGGGCCCTCAAGGACTCAAAGGCTTGCCTGGTGAGAATGGTCTACCTGGACCCAAGGGTGACATGGGCCCTGCAGGCTTGCCGGGATTCCCAGGGGCCAAGGGTGAACGAGGTCTACCAGGATTAGATGGAAAACCAGGATACCCAGGTGAGCAGGGTCTTGCTGGTCCTAAGGGACACCCAGGTTTCCCAGGTCCAAAAGGTGACACTGGTCACGCTGGGCTACCTGGCTTGCCTGGCCCAATGGGTCCACAAGGAGTAAAGGGAGTTCCAGGGATCAATGGCGAGCCGGGCCCCAGAGGGCCTTCAGGAATACCTGGGATCCGAGGCCCCATCGGCCCCCCTGGCCTGCCAGGAGCCCCTGGTGCAAAAGGTGAGCCAGGAGCACCAGGACTGCCAGGCCCAGCAGGTATCGCTACGAAAGGATTAAGCGGACCCATGGGACCACCTGGACCCCCTGGGCCTAAAGGCAACAACGGAGAGCCCGGATTGCCAGGCCCCCCAGGTCCTCCTGGTCCCCCCGGCCAAGTCCCACAGATGCCCGAAAGCTATGTTAAAGCAGGAGAGGCTTACATGAAAGGAGGAGTAAACCAAGCTCTTACAGGGATGCCAGTGTCTGCTTTCAGTGTCATCCTCTCAAAAGCCTACCCTGGGGCGACAGTCCCCATCAAATTTGATAAAATCTTGTACAATAGGCAGCAACACTATGACCCCAGAACAGGAATCTTCACCTGCAGGATCCCTGGACTGTATTATTTCTCCTACCATGTACATGCAAAAGGAACAAATGTCTGGGTTGCACTCTACAAAAATGGCTCCCCACTTATGTACACCTATGATGAGTACAAGAAAGGATACCTTGACCAGGCTTCTGGCAGTGCTGTCATTGACCTCACGGAGAACGATCAAGTATGGCTCCAACTGCCCAATTCAGAATCTAATGGTCTCTATTCCTCTGACTACGTTCACTCTTCTTTCTCAGGTTTCCTATTTGCTCATAGCTAAAAACATCCCACTTACACTGTCCTGACACTCTCTCCTTCAGACCATTTTAACTGGGTGCTGATCTGATTCGTCATTAGCAGGTCATGCCACTTCAATTTTGCAACAGAAACGGAGGGAGTGAGAACGTGGAAGAGATTGGTTCAAACTTAGTAGAATAATATTGTATGTTTTTAGAGAATTGTCATAAGAAATTTGTTTCAAATAATGATCAATTGTCCAACTGAATGCAACATTAAAATTTTATGAATTAATATAATGCAACAGCCTCTCTCTTTTCTTCTTAATTAAAAAAAGGAAAATCAGAATTTCTAACTATCATTTCTCGTAACACAATAAATAGGACTCTAGATCATAGTTCACTACACTTGAAATAATTGAAGGTATTATTCAAAGTAAACAGTTTCAGATACACCACAGTCATCCCAACAGCTAGATAAAATACTTCAGGAAGATTCTGCTGTCAGCTTTATCTTTAAGCTATCAAACAGGAGTCAAGAAAACAACTTTAATACACTGCATATCATACCACACTTTTAATTTAGTTCCACTTTCCTTATTAATGAATAATCACCTTGGAGAAAGGTAGATTTATAAATTAGTACCTGTTACTGAAGATCTAAGACTTTCACAATATTGAAAAGCAACCAGATTTGAAGCCACTTAGCTTGCTTTGATGCACATTTGGTAGTCTGTAGCAACAAAGTATTTCAGTATTTTTTAAGCCTTTAACATTCTGTGAAACTACAATTTTCAGAGTACTGTCAAACAACTATCACCAAATCCAGACATTAAGAACATATCTTCACAAGCATGCAAGAAATTCAAAACATCTTTACTACCCCAAATTTGGAGATGATCTTCGCACTGATTTTCCCTGAACATTTCATTCCTTTAAAACACAATAGCCTGGAGAATATATTTTACTTACATGGTAAATTTATCAGGTGGTGACAGTAATTGGTCAGTAGACAATCACATTTACCATACCTACATACACTCATGTCTCACAAACATTAGACAATACATCAGTTATGTCACTGTGAAAAGTTAATGGTATAAAGTAAGATAGCTTTGTAAAATTAGTGCTTATAAATTATGAAACCATCAATAGTTTGATCATACATTTCTTCCAATGACAGTACCATTCACATGCTTTAAAAGTATCATATACATCCAAAACCTTATGAACTCTTGAACTGTTATTTTTAGCATTTTTTTTTTAAACAGAAGTTTTTAATCACTTGCACTAGAAGTACGTAGGCCTATGTTACAAGTTTTGCAATATTACCATTTCTTCATGAAAGCAGAACCTAAGGCTTGTTACGTTGTGTACATTTGAAATCAGCATTTCTGAAGTACTTGATAATACATCACGATTAATAAAAAAAAGCGAGGACACCTTTGGGTTGACCCATCATTACTGAAACTATATAATGTTTTGGAAACTGTAAAGAACAACCAAGAAAATAACTCCACAGAATTGTTTTTTCTCCCCTTATTAAGCGCTGCTGGATAAGGAAGCCTGGGGTTTAGGCTATGCATAGGTAAAATAATAAATCCTTAAGTAGAGAGAGTAACTTGAGATCCATTTATTTTAACGGCCAAGTAGACCTAGGCAAAATAGGTGCTACTGTTACAAACACTGCACAAAAATGTTTGTATGGAAATAATACAGTGAACAGTACCACAATTTATAAGTGGCAATCCCGCACTACTTCTCTTTGAAGCCAAAATACAAGTCAATACTCTTGAGCCTGAATTGTCTGTTCTCACTTTTCTACCTTCCTGTTTTAGGCCAAATATTAATTACAAATCTCTTAAGAATTCTCATTATTGCACTAAAAATGTTTCCCTGTGCAGTCACTTGCATTAGTTCAGCAGCACCTTCCAACATTTAAACACAGCATGAGCTGCTGCCAATACATTCAACCAGTCTGGCACTTCTCTTTCAGAAACAAACGGAGGGATCGGATCCTGCAGCTGGAAAATACTGCTCAGTAGTTGTAAAGTTTCTGGGTAATTGCTTTACATCTGAAAGACATGCCAAAGCACATGTTTAAAATTGTTGGAGATGCTCAGTGCTCAGCAGTACATTGCTGTCCTGTGATTCCAATTAACTAGCTTCTGCACAAGAAACTAGGCTCAGACAGTATTCTTAAAAGCAGAGTTCACCCACTTTATCATCCACCCACTTTAAAACAGGTTTTGTCCCTCTAACATCTCGTATCAGCATATAGGACTTCAAGCCGGTCTACCTCTTTGTACTTCACACCCATCTTTTTGAAGGCTCTTCATAATTGTTCAGGCACTAAGTCACTAAGAAAGCAACTCTTAACACAGAAAAGCTAGAGATTACACACCAAATTGTGGCACAAGCACAACTTCCACCTTTATTTTAGCTTTGGATTCTCAATTTAGAGGAGACCTTGAGAAAGCCTGTAAGGTTTATAAATTTGGGGCTTTTAATATTTTTCTCCAGAAGAGGATCAGCAATCTACCTAAAGATACAGCTCTTCCAGAAACCACATCTTTTCTGGATCACAGGCATTAGAGGAAAGAAAATTACAAGATTAAAATGAAAACCTAAGAGCCTGTAATAGTACAAAACTCACTTCCAAAAGCTTCAAAAATATTTCCAAGACAAATTTCAGTAGTTTTTAAGTGTTCAAACACCTGATGGAACCCCTTCTGTACTTAGCTGAAAAAGCCAGCAGTGAAGTGTAACAAAGCCAAAGAGAAGTGTAACAAATTCGTTTGCTTCTATCTCTGTTGCCATTTTCACAATTAAAACAAATAATGATCTCTCATCGCTGATCTACATCAACATTAGGTTTTGCAGGATTTTTGGAGGATTCTTTCCTTTTGGCCAGAAAAACATCTTTGCTTTTTGTTTGTTGTATTTGAAGTTGCATATAAATAATATGCACATATCATGGACTTTTAGATACACTGTCTTCTGCCAAGACAAGAGGGTAATAACAAACTTGCAATCAAAAAAACCTGTGTGTGCACGTTTTTGAGGGGAGAATGAGTAGTTTAGAAAGATTGAAAGTTTTCATCTCCAAAGTAACACTTCATATATATCAGCACGCTGCTGTATTGATTAGAATACTTATCATTCACATAAAATAAAAAAATGCAAGTTACTAAACCCCGGGTTTTTAAGTCCAGCACTTTCTTTCTCTGATCTTTTTCCTTTTTGCAAAAGATGGTCAGTGACAAATTTCTCAGATACATCCTTGAAACCAGAGAGCAGAACCCAACCACCCTTTTTATGGGCAATTTATGAGGTCTCTGCTGCCATATTAGACATGATTTTTTTACTTCCAAAATGAAATATGTTATGAACTGATTAAAAATCTTAAAAATGTCCTTTTCACCATATAACCACAGATGCTATGGTTTTCAGAAGTGTCAGGGAAATGACAGGGAAATACAAACATGGAAGACAGAGAGAAAGCAGCCTTTAGAAGACATTTTACAAAATTCTGCTTTAAGAAGTTATATCAGGCAACTTCCTCCTACAAAAAGTATTGATTTTTTCTGTCCAAATATCACCAAATCTGAATTTTTTCACATGGAAATAACTATATGGTACTTCAAGCCCTTATTATTCCACTAAAGACCAAAGTCTGTTTCTGTAACATGTTGTGGAACTTTGTCCACATGTAAAATACACTGCCACATCCCATTTATTTTAAAATTGCTCTTTACTAATTTATATAGCATATAAACTAAGAGAAACACATACAAACTAATGTTAATCACCTTAAAGCTGCAAAATATTCCAGTAAAAGATTTACAAAAAGGATTACTCAAGTAATATAAGTTCAACTTGGATATTAATTGCAGAGGGAATTCTTGCAGGTATTATTAGGCAAGAAATTACTATTTTGAAAATATAAGTATCTGTGTTTATTGCTATCTGACATCACGCTTTTCTGACAGTATTGTTTAATAGATCCCCCTCTTTTTTTTTCTTCTTAGTTATTCTTTAGAAAGGAAGATCTGAGTAACACAAGACTATTTAGGAATCCTCTCACTCTCCCTCTGCAAGCCTCAATTCCTCACTTCATTACAAGTAGAAGAGTGGGTTAATACCCCTCATTAAGTTGTCAGGACAATCATGGCTATCTGAAAGAGCCATCCAAAAAAAATATCATAGGGCAATTATCGAAGGCAATTACCATAGCTAAGACAATGAAAGGCAAAATCCACCAGACACCTGATTATGATCAAAGAAATCATGTGAAAAAGAAGGGACACAGAGCAACAAGGGCATACTGACAACAAACCACAAGTGACTTGCAAACACTTACGGATTTCAAAAAATAAAACGGTCAGTCGTTCTGCTCCGTCACTGACAATGGCGCTACTAAGACAGAATTTTGACTTGGGAACTTTGTGTCTCCTCAACTGACCTCTTAAAGTTTGTTTTAGAAATTTTACCTTGACTAACTGCTAACAAGCACTGCTTTTCTCCGAAGGGTTAAACTCTCTGCAAAGGCATGGAGTTAAGTCAAGAGGCTGTGGTTTTCAGGACAGCCTGTGGGCTAAGAAAGATGGTGGGGCTTCCTGGTATGCAGACGTTGGGCTGGAGCCAAGTGTAGAAGTTTCCTCAGGAACTCACATTAAGCTTGCAGCTGAGGAAAAAAATAAATCTCTTTGTCACAAGCTTGTGACAGAAGACTAGTACTGTTATTCTCATTGCACAGAGGGACCTGAAGCAAAAAGAGATACTCCATGTGAATACCACAGGTAAGTGACATAGGAAGACATTCTCTGGTTCTTCTGACTCCCTGTTCAGCACTTTATCCACTGGACCACATTATTAAAAGGAAAATAAGACCACTATGAGGCCTTTCAAAGTGATGCATGACAGAGCATAGTACTTTCACACATGAAAGAATTTAAGTAGTGTATACAATCTGCATGATTTTACTTCTGATTTTACAGAGCTTTATCCAAAATAACTCGTGCCTATCAGTTACTATTTTTTCTTATATTTTCAACCCTGTTGTGCACATGCCTCGTGACTTTTATAACAGAGCATGAGGTGTGTTAAATTAAATACCAGTTCTTGTAAAAGTCAGAAAGGATTAAGTCATATCACACACCTGTTTGGATGCAGATTCCATGCTTACATACACCAATACATACCCAACAGGTAGATATATGCATAAATGTACACATGAGTGTCTGCTTGCATGTGCATAAGTAAAACCAACCGTTTACACAAGCTGAAAGATCAGACTTTGACTTCTGTTTGATCTAATTAATTTCCAGAAACACTTTTAAAAATTACTCTTTTTACCAAATGCTGCATGATCCATGCCTTTTAAAACAAAGAGCTTTCATGATTTGAAAAAAGAATTAACAAAAATGCTGAAAAATAGTTACAGTTGATTAGGATAAGTTAAACATCAACAGAAACAAAGGACACATTTATTTCATGTACGAATGAGTTCCTAGAGAAATTCTTAACTACCAATCACACTCAAAGCTCCAATGAAAACACAGTAACAACAACAAACAAAACATTTCATGAATATTGTGCTGTCTTATTTTAATATGCATCCTGACATCAGCTTCTGCTATTTATTGGAACCCTTCTGAGACAATTTTGTCAATTACATTTGAAAGAAATACAGCAAGTAGCACAACTCCGGTGAACAAGAGGTAAATATTAAGAGGCTTCAAACTACACCTGCACCTAATTAATGTTGCATTAACGGAGGTAATTCTATCAGCAAATACTGTTAGCAAAATGATACAGAAATCTGAACTCAGACGAATATAGTCTTTTTTACAAAAAACCCACAGTTAAAAATAATTTCAATTAATTGTGTGCACACACAAGATGGATAACCTTGATTTTCAACTTCTTATTTCATATGCCTAATAGAAACTCAGAATTTAAGTCTGTGAAAGAAGGAAAATAATTGCTAGCTGAAGGGTATCCAAGATGTTTTCCAACTCTAATTTATATTACAAGGTCGGCATTGAGTGGAGGAAGGCTATTAAAAAAAATATCCTCTGTTGTTTTCTTATACTAAAAATTGCAATCTCCTTACTACAATATACTACGTGTCAATACTACACGAGGAATTCTAATGAAAAACTAGAGCACTGAAGAAAATTATCACATATGAGTTAGTACTTTATTTTTTTCCAATGCATTTCTGATTTTATTTATGATTACAAGAACACAAGGAAAAAAATCAAAATACAGTTCAAAGATCTCCACATTACCATACAAATCACAGTAAGAAACCACTTTCGCTCTAAATTTACTGAAGAAGTACATCACAGTGTTATTAAAGATAGCAAAACAGTTCCAGCTAAATGAAATAGAAATAGTAATGATAAAAATCTATTCCAGGATGAACTATTTGTACAGCTTGAAAAGTAAAAGCTGTGTTGAGTAGTCTACAGTGTACCTGCAAATGTATTCACTGTGGCAAGCACATGTAATATTTTCAGCTATTATAGTAAGTTTTCAGTGAACCCACTTACCTTTAAAAGCTGTTATTTTATAATTATGCTGGATAGCAGCCACCACATCCTTCCAGAAGTCATATTTTTTCTGATCATCATGCTGTAAGTGTCAAAATGAACCTAGTCATTATATCAAGTATCAGCTATTTTGAGCTTCCATATTTAAACAGTGACAGCAATGCCATTAATAAACAAAAGTATTTTGAGGAAAACAGTCTTAGACAGTAGGATTTGGGACCCAGCAGTACCCAGCTTAACTTTGGGTGACTGAACACAAGTCATCTCCCTACTTCAGAAGGTTATGGCGGGGGAGAAAGGGGCAAGGAGAAAAGATTCATATTTGTGAGGAACTCTAAGACATTACAGCAAAGAGGGGCATTAGACAGAACAGCGACTTATTGAATGAGCCATTCCACTGACTTTCAGGGGAAAAAAGGTGCCTAGAGGTGGAGATGCTGTACTTAATTAGCAGGTTGACATTATCTACAGCCTGGCATTCATATCACCTTCCACCCTCAGAACTGGCAAAATCCTTTGCTATAATTTAGAGGTAACGTCCTCCTGCCAACAACTCCACCCCAAACACTGTATAAAACCTTCACCCAGGAGCCAGGCTGAGCAGCACGGCGTCACATTGTCCCCTGAAGACTGCCAAAGCCCAGCTTTGGCGGGAGGACAGGGGAAGGTGATCTGTGCTTGTGAACAGCCTCTCGCCATTCCTAGAAAGCCACCCAGGCTCAGGAGTGCTCTCACTGACCTCAACCTCCCTTTCAGCATCTCACCAAGGGACAGGAAAAGCTTCTCAACCAGCTGAGCCCCACAGCACTCTCAAACTCCACAAATTTCATGAGTGCTGAATTAATCAGGTGCAATTACATAGCCAGCCAATATTGCAGAGCAGCCCAGCATCCAACTCCTGTCTAAACCCATTTTGAATCCAAACCTAGCAGTTCTCCTATTTATTTCCAGTAGGAAGCTTTCCTGATCCGAGAATGTTTGCTAGAAATGGTAAGAAAATGACCCTTACTAAACAGGCTGCCAGAATAGGAAAGAGAAGCCTCTACTTCCTTCCAGAAACATGGGAGGAGAAAACATGACGGTTCCTAACCCTTCAGGTGCAGCATTCTGCAGGCACAAGGGCTGGAGAGGCCCACTACCTCCTGCCTTGCACCCTTCTCACCCAGCTGATGCCAACCTTCTGGGGAATTCCTCCAGCCCTCCTGTTGAAACCAGGCCAACACCCACTAAAATATTCAAGAACTGCTAGCTGATAAAGAGGACCCAGATCTGGTAGCACAGGTTTCATTCTCTCTGGCCGAGGACAGCACTGCCCAGGGTCAGTGTTCCAGCATGTTAACTAGTAACTGAACATGCAAGCTTATTGCACGTTCTACGACATGCTTTCTCTCCCAATAAGTGATTTGTGATGAGTCTAAATTAAATATAAAATAATGCAATACAGATATTGCATCTGAGAGAGGGCTTTAAGCTGTGAACAGTGGAGAAAGGAGATTAATGAGGCACAAAATTAAGAGTCTTACAGCACACCTATCCTCAGTGTTTCCTTATAAGCTAGCTTTACCTAACTCCTCATGCAGCACTCAGACTTAGGCAGCAATCTACTCAGTGTGCTATTTTGGAGTGGAGACTAAAGCCTCGAGTCTGCTGATACCCAAATGGATCCCAGATACCCATCATACAGCTCTGAATTTCACTCTGCAAACAAAGTTTAGTACTCGCAATTTTCAGTGCTGCAGCACTTTGGTACCTTCAGTCAAAAGACTACATCTGTATTTTTTTGACTCCAATATACCTGCTGCATGAGAAGAACCCTCTGCAAGCCCCAGCTGCACACAAATTCAAGATTCAAGCCTTCTTTAACACAACCAAATTAGTTAGCCTCAAACTTCACAGACAGGTTTTAAGACATTCTACCCATCTAAAACACACTGAAAAACATTCAAGCAATTGTATTTTCTGCCTTGAGAATTTAACTTGCTGTTTAGCAGAAGAAAAAAAAAAGGATATTGTTTTAGACATGTATCTGTGTATACAGATCAATGTTTAAAACAAAAATAACTTTAAAAAAAGGATGGAGTTAAGCTTTCAACTCATTAACACCTTGCAAATTAACAAATTGTGTTACTCAGAAGACTTACATTAGATCTAATTCGAGTACCATCAAGTGTAATTAAATACTATTTTAAGAACTACATTCTGCGTATCACAGAGTAAACTTGAGAAAACATTGCATTTCTATTCGTATCCTAGTTATTTGTGCCCTCTAGTGGAAGTACATTTATTTGAACATGCCATGTAGCTCACAATTCTTCACAAAGTTTCAGAGACAAATTTAATACACTAAGTCCAACATGAAAACTTCCAAACAGGAAAAAGACCTTGATGTTGTTCGATACACTATTTGCATGCATTTAATAATGCATGCAAGCAGGATGGTGGGGGAAGAGACAGATAGTGCAACACTTAGTTTCAAACACTCCAGTTCTTACCTGATCTAAGCTGTCCACAACCCTTGCACACAAGAGAGCTCCTGGCAGGTCAAAATAATTGTCATACAAGTAGTATTTAGCTGGAAAATAATAATAAAAAAATCTACTTTTAAAAAGCCACATTGTATGCTTTAAACACAAATAAAAATACATTTAAATAATAGTACAAGCTCCTATTTGGATTTTACTGGTAATAAGCATTATCTGCTTCACAATCTTAGTTAGCCTTTATTCCTGCTTTTGATTCTCATAATTCACAAATGAAAGTTCTTCATCTGTATCAAGGCAGTGGTATTTTAAAAATTCATTTTAAAGTTCTAAAAGTTAAGGTGGAAGAGATGGGGGAAACCATGAGTTTTAAGAGTCAGGTCAGTATCACTTAACTCTTCCAGAATACCCTTTTCCCTAGCAGTGGAAACACAAAGAAGGAGTTTGAGAAGTTGTTTCAGAAACATTTGGACAGGTCTTACACATATTCTTGTCCTTTGCACACACATGCTGCAGACAGAGCCTTAGCCTAAGGGGAAGCATGGCCACAGGATTACGTGAGCCCCCAAAACAGAACAAAATCATGAGGGTGCAAATGTTCTGCCAGACTGAGGTCATGTTCAACAACTCTTTGCTAGGAGTAAATGACTTAACCAGTGATTTTTTTAACATTCACAATAGAGAGCAAGTGCACTTTTCAATGAATAAGAAAGGCACATTTGCTGTATGACCAAAGGAAACCTTTATCTTCTACCTTGCTGCAAACGATTACCTGCAGTTTAGAATAAGCATCACAAACAAGTTTATGTCAGCAAAATCTCAAGGAAATATCTCCATTACATACGACAATGCAACTTAGCACGTTATGTGTATTACTCACAATTACCAAGATGAAAGTGAAATGGAGAGGAAGCACAGAGCAGCTAGCAAGAACGCAAACAGTGCCTTCAAAGCAACCCATATCAAAACCAAGAAACTACAGTTGCAGGAGGGCAAGTTTTGTTTCCAGGCTTGCTCTGTTCTTTGCACCTGCACAGAGGCCTCCAGTAACAGCTCTGATGGTAATAAGATTTACCATTATCTGTCTTAAATGACATAGGCTGGTAATCTCAGCCTACTTCATCAAGGAACAACATGCCCATCTCTACAACTGAAATACCCCTGTAACATCAGGCTTGTTTGTTTCATCACTGGTGAGCTAAATCTAAGTTGAACTCTAGTGTTAGAAGTTGAAAATACAAAAAAAACCTCAACTCTGCCCAAAATCATTCACTTATTCCATGAATTCCCAGTTCAAGTATTTTTAAGTATTTGTGGTAAGAACTCATACTATGAGGCACTGAAGAGGCCGGAGCAATTTCAAAGACGAGGACATGCTATGGTAAGGACATGCTAACCTGAGCGGGAGACCATTCCACTGACTGTATCAAAATGCTTCCACTCCCTCCTTCCATACATCTCCAGGATCTCTTCGGATGTCATGCTTCTTGTACCATGGCTTGCCCTATTTGATTCATTAAGTTATGCATATTTAAAAAAAAAAAAAAGAAAAAAGGAAAAAGTTGAAAACAACCAAACTACTCCTAGTGCAAAGTAATGCATTGCAACTGAATATTGAGGTGCATGCAGGTTGACCAGAAGTAACTCTTTTTAGAACTTTGATGCTTCCATCATATACATTACAGGCCTTGATAAAAGCCCTACTACAGAGAGGTTTGGTTGGCTGGGGGCACGGCTACTGCGCCTCACCTGCTAACACAATCACTCTGCGTTGCTCGAATGTTCTCAATTGTGTGAGGACACTCGCTATACTTGAACTATCCATATACACTGCACAATAAAGCCCAGTGCAGAAAGCCTATACATCATTCTGAAGCCTGGGAACATTCAGAGTGCAGGGCAGAACTATGGAAAAGTGCTAACTTGAGCCCTGCGTGCAGCTGTGTAACACAGAAGTACACACAAGCCTTTTTAGGAATTAAAAACAAACTAGCTTCACTGTCAAATTGGGCCACAAAAGAATGCACAGATGCTTCAAAACTGGAAATCGCAGGCAATGCTAGGAGAAGAAATCATGTATCACTCTTCCCTTTATTGTGGTATATCCTGCAGTCTTGAATTCTGCATTTATACTTTGAAATTCATGGTGCTAAATGAATTTCAAGATATGCAGCAGAGACCCACAGGTATTTCTTCCTTTCTTTCAATGAGATGTGATTTTCCCTATGCATCTTCAAGCTCCTTCTCTCATATGTGATAAAAAAAAAAAGTAGTCTATTACATAGATTTTCATTTTGGAGAAAAATAAGGGGGAAATGGGACTGGGATTGCTAAACTTTAAATGTATTTACTTTTCAGATTTGTGATTCAAAACAGAAGTCTTCTATGTTTATAAAAAAAAAGAGAAAGAGGAACTAAGGATGTACTGAAATGATGACTGAAGGCAAAATATAGCTTTCAAGAGAAAAAAAACAAACAGTTTTGAAAGTGAATGTGTCAGTTTCTGCATTTAATTTACCTCAGGCTATTTAAATTATACATTGTAGGCCTGCAGTATTTTGAATGTGCATGGTAGAAAGACAATACTCCTCTCGTCATTAGCACTGACTCTGAGTCAGGTTAACCACAACTCAAAAACCTGACCCTGGATCTTAGCAGAACTGGAAAAAGAGTACACTGGTAGCCACTGGAAAACTGAATTTGCTTTCAAGATCAGTACAGCCCTTAGAGTTTTAGATGTTTAAAAAAAGTGAGATATTCTTTACTAGCAGCCATCACGGAAACATTAAGAAAAAAATGCATGTGGAACAGTAACAGAAACTGAACACCACATCACCAAAGAGTATTTAAACTTTTATATCTAATAAATGAATGTATGCTGAAATTAGTATTTTAAATACTTAATAAAACTTAGAGATAGCTTTCAGAAAGAGGATAAAATTTTTGTGTTTGTTTAACAATATAAACTTATTGTCAATGTTACCTTAAAACTGTTCCGTCTTCTGCAAGTTTCAGGAAGTTTCCATCTTCAATGTCAAACACCAAGCCTTTACAACTAAGAATAATTTTTTTTTAAGGAAGAAACAAACAATTAATGCTTTCAGAGGTACATCTTGTTGTAAATCAGAATAGTGCAATGCAGTTACAGAAGGTATACAATGATGCTACACAAAAGGAGCAAAATCACAACCCTTCAAACCCTCCATGTTTGAACAATGCTTTATATATGCAAATACATATTACTACAATGAGGACTGGATTTCACTTTCATAGCAAATTCCTACTAAATAAATCCAGTTCCATCGTTCCATGATGGACATGGAACATCACTAAAGCACTATGTTTATTGGTCTTTTAAATACCTCCAGGGATGGTGACTCAACCTCTTCCCTGGGCAGCCTGTTCCAATGATTGATAACCTTTCCTGTATATATTTTTTTTTCCTAATATCTAATCTAAACCTCCCCTGGCATAACTTGAGGCCATTTCCTCTTGTCCTATCGTCCGTTGCTTGGGAGAAGAGACCGCTCACTACAACCTCCTTTCAGGTAGTTGTAGAGAGCTCTCTCCCCTCAGCCTCCTTTTCTCCAGGTGAACAACCCCAGTTCCCTCAGATGTTCCTCATGAGACTTGTTCTCCAGTAGAGGAGGACAATCGCTTCCCTAGTCCTACCGGCCTCACTATTTCTGACAGGCCAGGATGCTGTCGGCCTTCTTGGCCACCTGGGCACACTGCTGGCTCATGTTCAGCCGACAGTCAACCACCATTCCCAGGTCCTTTTCTGCCAGGCAGCTCTCCAGCCACTCTTCCCCAAGCCCGTTGTGCTGCATGGGGTTGTTGTGACCCAAGTGCAAGACCCAGCACCGGGCCTTGTCGAACCTCATACCACTGGTCTCAGCCCATCGATCCAGCCTGTCCAGATCCCTCTGCAAAACCTTTCTACCCTCCAGCAGATCAACACTCCCTCCCAAGTTGATGTCATCTGCAAACTGACTGAGGGTGCACTCAATACCCTCATCCAGATCATTGATAAAGATATTAAAGAGGACCGTCCGCAGTACCAAGCCCTCAGGGACACCACTCATGACCAGCCAGCAACTGGACTGAACCCCATTCACCACCACTCTCTGGCCCTCCAGCCAGTTTTTAACCCAGCGGAGAGTACTCCTGTCCAAGCCGTGGGCAGCCAGTTTCTCCAGGAAAATGCTGTGGGAAACTGTGTCAAAGGTCTTACTAAAGTCCATGTAAACAGCACCCACAGCCTTTCCCTCATCCATCAAGTGGGTCACTTGGTCATAGAAGGAGATCAGGTTTGTCAAGCAGGACCTGCCTTTTGTGAACCCATGCTGGCTGGGCCTGATCACATGGTTAATGCATACATTACTTAAAAAAAAAACTAAAAAAACCAACAAACAAACAACCCAACACTGTGTTTCTCCTAAAACAATTGAGTGATTACCTAGGCTTCAAACCCCCAGTCCCCTGGCCTAGAAAATAAACTATTAAAGTTTCATGTTCAAGCTCTTGCTCATCGACAACTGAGCTCAGAGGAGCAACTTGCATTTCAGCCTTTGGCATCACAGCTTTGTGCCTGACGTGCCACTCATGGGCTACCTCCTGGCACATCAATGTTCCTTGGTTCTTCAGAAGGCCGTTGGAATTATTCCACCTTACACACAGACACATCTCTCAAGACAAAAATTACTAAATTCTTATAGTTAACTGGATTTAGCAGTTGAAATGGAGGTAGAAGACAAAGGGAATATACAAGCTATGAGAGTAAGTCAGACTAAAAGCCCTGTGCCCAGACAGCTAGAAGCAGAGACAAATGCTCAGTTCTCTCTTCAAAATACCATATTAGAAGTATCTCATGGTAAATATTTGTTGGAACAAATACTTAAAACTGTAATTTTGGATTTATCTATTGGGTCCAACAGTTGTTATCAACTGCCTAATAAGTGAAGCTGTTTTCCAAGCTTTGCAGAAGTTAGAGCATGAAGGAAGTTATGAAGAAAGTTTAAGTTATTTTCAATGTACTCACCAGAAGTCTAAGCTGTCTGGAGCTACATTCAGCAAGTCTTCATCATAACCCTTCTCTGTTACCAGATACTGGGCAAAGCTATCATATATTAACTACAAATGAAAAAATAAATGCATTAATTATCTTGATTAAATGACACCAAAGATGCTGCTTCCCTGGAAAGTGGCAAGATGCAAGTGTTAGTGCCTCCTAAGAAATATCAAACCAGGGACCTAGGGGCCTGACCCACTGCTGGGAAATAGTGCCTGAGGACATTTTTGTCACAGATAGAAAACAGCTTAAGATGCTGACTGAACAGTTCTGGTGCAATATGTCCAGCATAACCAAGCTTACAGCATCCTACCTTACTACCCAGCGCTTCGAGGCCATTGAGAAATTAAGATGGTAAGTACCTAAGACCAGTCACTAGTCTCCCCTCCCCAACCTTTTTATTTATTTATTTATTTATTTTAAAGTGTCACTGTTACCAAGACTCAACAAGCAGCTTCTGAACGAATAAACAACTACCCTTAGTGGACATTTTAGAAGTATCCAATGGAACATATTTTGAAGAAACTGACATGCTGGTCAAGTTGTACAGGTTCTATGTAGATGCCACCTGGTCTTTAAAGACCATACAAAAATGGTAATTGCTCTTTTTTTTTTTCATTATTCTTTCATTAAAGCTGTTTCCTGGCTTTTTTTTCTTAATTACAAAAACTCTTGAAATTAATATGAATAATGTCTAAGAAGGATTAATATGAAGTCAAACCCTGAAAGACTACAAACTTCAGCTGTGCCTGACGCATTTTAAAGTATTTTTTATTTCCAACAGATAAGGAGGCATGCAACAGGCATGTGGCAGCCTGTGTGCTGTGAGAAGACAAAGAGTGAACTAAGTTTAGCAAATGCTTTTATTTATTTTTTTTCCTGTTTTGTTCATTGGTTTGGGGATTTATTCCTTTTTTTGTAAACTCTTCAGTTAACAATTGCCTAACGCCCGCCTTCATCGGAAAAAATTCTTATCAGGAGGAACACACCTGTGCAAGATGTACTAAGTGTGGCATAACAGAAAGCAGACGGAAGGTAAGCCTGGAGTTGTACAGTTTCCAGCAGGAACTTAAGAGCACATACATTTTATAACTTGCTACTGTTGAACCCTCTTTTGTAAGAAAGGTGCCTCTCTACAGAAAAATCACTCACAGCTAAAGGCAGCAACGCAATTTTTCAAGACAGAACGCACCCAACCATACCAGTTTATGAAAGGGACACCTCGTAAACATTGGTTTCTATACACAATTCGTCAATATCTTGCAATTACCGTGGGAATCCCAGGCAGTGCCAGATGTAGGTGCACGGAGGCAAATAAAAGGGGAGAGGGGGACACCATAATCATCCACGACACGAAGTGGCAAAGCCCTGACACCAACGAAGAAGGACGAGGCAATGAAGGGTTACCAGGGAGTTTAAAAAAAAAAAAAAAAAAAAAAAAAAGCAAAGCAAGAGCGCCAATGGCGGGAAGGGACCGCACATGACAGGGACAAGAGGGCCAAAGCCGCAGATGCTGAGCGCCGCTACGCCCGGCGTTTTATCTTAAGCGCCAGAAAGTTTGCGAAGGTCGCCTGTCGAAAGTGCTGCGGAGCTCCCACTGTCTGCAGCATCTCCAGACCTGGCGGGGGCAGGGAAGGAGATAGAGAGGGAGGGAAGGAGGGAGGGAGGCTCTACCTTTTCCTCAGCGCCGCTACAGTTGGGAAAGCTCTCCAGAAGCACCATTTCCGAGGAAGAAGACATGGCTGTCCCCTTGGCTCGGCCAGAGGCCTGCCGAGGAGGCGGCCGGCGAGCCCGGAGAGCGTTTCTCCTCCCTTTTCGGCTTTCCCTAGGGATTGCCGTGCCCGGCAGGCTCGGGGCTGGCTGGTCCCCGCAAGCCGGGGTCCCTCGGGGGGACGCTCCCTTCGTCCCCGTCCCGTCTCGTCCCCGTCCCCGTCCCCCCGACTCACCCGAGCGCTCTGCGGGAGCTGGTACCGGCAGAGCGTGTGGTCCAGGTCGAAGCCCATCACATCGCAGTCAGCCAAGGAGAAGTCTTGCTGCATGGCCGAGCCGCCGCCACCGCGGGGAGGCGGGCGGAGGAGGAGGAGGAGGAGGAGGAGCACGGAAATGAGGGATAAAATGCACTAATGTTAATAGTAGGCGAGGGTGAGCACTTAAGGTGTCAGTGCAAAAAAAAAGAAACGGGTGGTGTAATCTCACCTCCGACGGTTGCAGCTTCTCTCGAAGGTTCCCGGTGTCTCCCACAGATGTTAATATTGTTTTGTGTATGTATACGCACACCATATATTTGTACACACCATACATTATATGTATACACCATAAATTAGATATACATACTGATACATACATATGTTTTATATATATCGTAAATAAATATATACCTATATACATATATATGTTTGAATACATACATACATATGAATGTACATATACATTTTCCACATTAACAGGTGTGAAACCCCAGCATACAAGAAGAGATTCATCCAGGGTCTTGCACACAACAGGGGTCGCAACTATAAAGATGAGGCAGCAGCCTGGGAACTGATCACAGGACATCTTCTCGTCCTAAAGCAGCTCAATTTAGGAAACACAGAGCAAATTCCTGCCCTGCTGAAGTAAATGATGACAATTTCAATTGACTTCAGTAGGTCCAAGAGTTCACCCATCACTGCTGCTCTTCACTATCCTCGCATTGACTTGAAGTATGTCTGACTTGCAGATGACATGGGTACAGCTCTCTTATTCCAGAATGACTTTTTTTCCCCATAAGGACTCATGCAGCTTCCAAAATTATGTTTAGATTACGGCATTTTAAATTTACAGCTTTGCTTGCTGTGCCTGTAAAACATTTATATGAAAACTCACCACAAAAACAACTTAACACACTCCAGTATTAAAACATCTAGTCAGATACTGAAAATCATATATTTGTTGATAGAATCCTACTATGGTTTGGGTTGGGATGGACCTTTAAAGGTCATCTAATCCAACCCCGTGGTCATTGTATTCACTGGCAACCGAAGGTAATCTTGAACATCCAGATTTTGTGACTGCTGCATGATTAAATTGGCAGTAATGACAAGCTATCTTAGAATTAACAACACAAAAGTACTAATCATATTTAATCTTAATACACTTTGTGTACGGAACAATACTGAGCAATGGAGAGATCCAGCAAGTTAAATTTCAGGGGCATGAAGCTGAAGATTAAATTACAACTATGACAACAAGAAATATAGAAGATATCGACGAAAAGAATTGGTTTTCAGTTCTGGGAAAAAGAAGATAAATGAGAGAATATCACCTTCATATTCAGTATTCACAGCACAAACCTGATAACAGGAAAGTCTCAGCAGTTTACTTTCAGCACAAAACCCCCCAAAATTAATTTCTTCTCCTTTTGTCTTAAAAGTGTTGCTTTGTCTCTCAGTTTCTTCTTTTCACATGAATCCTTTAAACATACTGACAAGCCTCTCTAGGGCCTTTGTCAGAAAAGGGCTGCTTTTAATTGAAATCCCCCATAACAACTGAACTACCTTAGATTACCTTTTCAGCTCTATCTTTGAAGTTTGATGGGCTGCTCAGAGATGTCCACATACTGAGGCTGTCCTTTCGGGCTGTCAAGTCCTAAATGGTAATATTTTAGGTTTCCCCATGGTTAGTTTATGTGTCACAGTAATTATTTTTATATTGTAAATACATGCTGATAACCCATTGGGAGAAATTGTAAATGCTGTTCTAGAAGGGGAAATTTCAAGAGGGTGCTGCCTGTGGGTGCACATACCCCATGAAGGTATGTGGGCAGGACAGGGCAGTGGGTGCTGCCCGTGGGCACACAGACCCCACGGAGCAGCAGGACAGGGCAGTAGGTGCTGCCTGTGGGCACACAGACCCCTCAGAGCAGCAGGACAGGGGAGTAGGTGCTGCCTGTGGGCACACAGACCCGACGGAGCAGGCAGGACAAGGCAGTGGGTGCTGCCCGTAGGCACACAGAGCCCATGGAGCAGCAGGCCAGGGAGGTGGGTGCTGCCTGGGGGCACACAGACCCCTCAGAGCAGCAGGACAGGGGAGTAGGTGCTGCCTGTGGGCACACAGACCCGACGGAGCAGGCAGGACAAGGCAGTGGGTGCTGCCCGTAGGCACACAGAGCCCATGGAGCAGCAGGCCAGGGAGGTGGGTGCTGCCTGGGGGCACACAGACCCCTCAGAGCAGCAGGACAGGGGAGTGGGTGCTGCCCGTGGGCACACAGACCCCACAGAGCAGCAGGACAGGGCAGTGGGTGCTGCCCGTGGGCACACAGACCCCACGGAGCAGGCAGGACAAGGCAGTGGGTGCTGCCTGCACTTGGTGCCCTCATGTTTAGCTACCTGTAGATAACATGTGTGAGGTGCAAAATCTGATGTCTCAGAGACTGTTATAGACAGACCAAGGGGCATTTTGGTTTTCATCATGCCTCATGCCTGGTTTCCATGCAGAAGAGGCTCCTACCACCATGTAGTTTTACAGCTGAGAAGCCTACTGACATGCCCTGGATTGCAAAAGGAACGTAACATACCAGAGGCTGGTAACATATATAAAGGCACAAGAACCACGTCAAAATACCACAAGTAAGTCTTATCTGTCACACAGGAGTTGTGGGCACTCCAGCTCCTCGCTTTCTTTGTCCTTAAGAGGGCAGCATTACGATACAATGGAGCATCTGCAAGTTAACTTTGAATCAGTGTCACCTTAATCTATTCTGCTTCCCCCAAGCTTCACTTTTATTTTCCTAAGGCTGTGTAAGTTGACTTTGCCAGTTGTGTTTTCTCCCGACTGCAGCATTGAAGCCATTTTCCTACTTAGGCAAAGGCTATAAGAATTTAATTAAAAAAGGGAAAGGGGCCCTCATATGGCTATGGAAGAATATGCACTAGTGATATGTGAGCATAAGAGAAGAATTTGAACAAACATAAAGCATTTTTATTTTGGACAAGTAACACTTTCTTACACAAAAGTAAGCTCAGAATATTCTAGATTTTTCCCTGTTTTTTTTTAAAAAACAAAGGAAAGTGCTTTTGGAGTAGAAGAAGTCAAACCAAAAAGTGGTGGTGTTTTTTTTTTTAATTTTATTTTAGGACACTGGTAAGAGCTGAACCGCAGGTTTTTACCTGATTTAGCTTTTAACCCACAAAGTTGTTCAATGCACAGGTAGGGGAGTGCCTCGCAGCCCTGCATCCTCCCTCGGCACTGACAGACTACCTTCATCCCCACTGAAGCATGATGCCCGCTCTCCCTGCTGGGATAACTCCCTGCTTTCCCCAGCACAGACTCCTCATCTGAGAACTGTTACCTCCATCCCTGGCTGACAGGAGGACAGAGCCCACATCTCAGGCTCACCCGACTGGCCCAGCTCACAGAGCTCTGCATACACATCTCCTGAGAGCTCCCCTAATCCTCACCACATTCTGGGGTACCCCCCAGACAAATACTGCTCTAATGTCACTCCCATCTCAGGCAGACACAAGTATTAGCCCTTTTGGTACTGCCACAGCACACAACCACCTTTAACAACTCCTGAAAAGCCACCACACAGCTCCCATCCTGCAGGCAGTTCCTGACAATGCACCACTACTCTTCTGCTTCCTCTCTTATGCTTGGATCAATAATCAGATTCAAATACAACATAGCTGTTTTGGCATAGGGATGTTTGTATCTATTAAAGTCAAAGGGCCTGAGGAGCATAAACATAGCTTCACCTCTGGCCTGCAATCACAGCTTGAAAGAAAAGCTTACTGTTCAGTTTGAGGAAGAGGAGGCTGCGGGCATACCTCATCACTCTCTACAACTACTTGAAAGGACACTGTAGAGAGGTTGGTGCTGTTCTCTTCTTGCAGGTAATTAGTGACAGATTGAGAGGGAATGGCTTCAAGCTCCAACAGGGAAGGTTTAGACTGAACAGTAGGAAAGAATTTTTCACAGAAAGAGTGGTCAGGCATTGGAATAGGCTGCCCAGAGAGGTGGTTGAGTCACCATCCCTGGACATGTTTAAGAGTCGTTTAGATGTGGTGTTGGGGGATATGGTGTAGGGGAGAACTTTGTAGAGTAGGGTAGATGGTTGGACTCGATGATCCCAAGGGTCTTTTCCAACCTAAATGATTGTATGATTGTATGATTCTTTTCTGGAACTTTGCATGAAATTGTACTTTCAAGGGAATTCTTCACATGTTTAAAGTTAAGCAGGATTGCAGGACTTTGTTCTATGTTTTTAAGTTTAGGACACTTAGAAGGAAACACTTTTGTTTAGGAACCATCAGATGAATAAGGAAAGAATAGAAGGAGGCCTCTAATTATAGAGTGATGCTTTAGCAGACAGATTTAACAACACTAATTCACTTCAAGGATATCCTGGTTCTCTGTGAGAGAATGAAAGCTGTCAAATATATGTATGCTTTGAAAAACAGTCACTAGCACTTATTTCTTTAGCAGACCTTTAAAAGTTTAGCAAAATATTATGTAATTTTCAAGGCATCCCTCTGTGACTCTTGGGTGACTTGTCACTAGGTACAGAAACCCAGTGAACTTACTTGACTATTGATCAGGATTTAAGATTTGATTAAATTCTAGCCATGTCAGAAGTTTTACTGTTCACTGGGTTGTGTAGCAGCCTTTTTATGTGGCACAAGATATGGACACACTAACTTTTTCAGTGGGATCATGCACATACAATTTATAGCACCCTGCTGGGAGTGGGACATCTGATTACATCTGGCACCTCAGTACTATATTGGTTACATTCTCTCCATCACCAGCATGGAAAGGACACTCGTACTGATAAAGAGACAAGATTTCTAAAACTAAACTCAGGAGTTCATTAGAAGGTTAAACAGAAAGTAATCCACCAAATGCTCAGAATTTCTCAAAAGCTTGCTTATTGTCCTTATCACCTCTCTCAGATCTTGTAATCTAACTCAGGCTGTTCCCACGCAACATGAAAGAAGGAAATGAAAATCAATGATTTTGTCAGGGTGATTAATAGCCAAGACTGATTGCTGGAGCCTTAGTGAGTATATATTTTAAAATTCTGAATAGTTGTCTAAAGGTACT